CCCAAAGCTCTGATTTTTGTTATTGACAGCTCCAGAGTGGAGAACTGCCAAGTGTTTAAGGTCTACCAGAATTTATTTTGCTCCAGAATGCACCTGTAGGTTTGATCAGCATTCAGTGCTGTGTGAGTCTGTGATGTAATCTGCCCTTATGCTCAAGCAGGTGAAATGTGATTTACATTGCCAAGTAATGTGTTCAGTAATTCCAGTATCTAATTGGTGCATCAGGGGAAGGCAGCCGGTGTGGGAAATGTAGGATTAGACTGGTCTTGTGTTCTGTATGGGAACCCAGTATCTGTACTTCTTTAAAAACACTAAGGGTGATTTAGATGCTAACTAAAGTGTTGGTAGGATTTCAAGTTTACAATGAACATCAACTAAACAATTTATGCTCTTGTTGTCAAAGTGTTTCTAAGTGGTGTTTCCAGAGTCCTCAGTTCTATAATGGGACCATTTGAATTTCACCACTGTCCACCTAACAAGATCAGGCATTAATTTCTGTGACCTGAGCTGGCTCTTCATCGTGTAACTGACTAATTATTGTGGCTAGAAAAGAATATTTGCCTTCTTTGTATAGTAGTGTGTGATTTGCTAGGTGAATTAAGGGGAATGGGGCACTTCCCTCTGATGGTGGCCACTATTCATTGCTTCAAAAGGCAGTGCATGGAATAATATGACCCTTCAGGGGTTTCCTTTTGAATGATTTCAACTCTTTCGTTAGCAAAACCTTTCACTGAGCCAGAGAGTGGTCAGAGATGGGGAGGCCAAAGTTTAGCCTTCACCGTGCCCTCAGTTTCTTTTGCTGTGTGCAGGACAGCACAAATTGCAGGAGTGATGGCTTTCAGTCCAGATCCTTGGGCCATTTCTCTTCCTGTTGGTGTCACAGTCTCTTCATTGTCTAAAAGAACAGCTTTTGTGTTTTATATGCCCAAGGGCTGCCCATAAAGGTTGGCAAGGGCAGCTGGTTAAGTCTGCACAAGGTCAGTCAGGATGTCTAATAATTGTCCTAACACTTTACCTGTTATGGAACAATAATGAGAGTTTTTTCATTATTTTCGGGTGAGTGAACCTGGCAGATGCTGACAGCCAGCAGATGTGTAAAGTTCGAGGTGATTTGTAAGGGACTGGCTCATCTGACGCGCAGTAATTGCACTGTGGGACATTGTCACTCAGCGTCCCGTCCTGCTCTGGCAGGATGAGGTAAAGGTCAGTTCAAAGAGCTGGTACAGCAGGAGGGACAGTGCCGGGCTGGAATTCAAACCTCGTTTTCCTATCTCCCGTGTACGCATCCTCATGATGTGCTTGGTAATGAGTTCTAGATTTAGGGATTGCTTGGGTGACTGAATAGTTGTTTTGAGACCAAGTGGTGAAGCATAGGAAGAGGTCCTTTTACTCACCTGTTGGTGTTTTAGTTCTGTACTCATCTGTCCAAGTATTCTTTGATTTTAAGTATGATTTGCAGCTCGGAAGTTCTGTTAGCAGTGGTTTGTTGCTTTGAGCTTAACAGAGTTGCAGGTGAGCTCATGCAGCAGCATGTCAGACTGCTCATCTGCTCCCTGCAGCCCTCTGCACTTAGCTGTCCTCCAAGTACAGCTCTGACAAGTGCTTTTTGCAGCAGAAAGGGTTTTAGCAGTTTGCCACCTGTGACACCCAGAGAAGCCAGCTCTTTGAGCACGCAGGCAAAACTGAAGGTTCCCTGTTCCTGCTCTGGGTCTGGGGCCCATTTTTCTCTACTTGCAAGCACCGAGTCCATTGCTCTTTATCTTACAAATACATTATCTTACATCACAAATTTTGTTCGTTCTCTTCTCCCAGCATCCTCTCAGTCAGCAGTGCTAGAAGGTGCTGTAACACGCTCTGCTCCTGGTCCGTATGTGTGAGCATTAGCTGCTGCATCAGCTCAGAAACACAAGGTTTCCTCTGAGAGCCTACAGTACCATCACAATCTGTGTGCTGAAGGACTGGTCCTGATGTGCATATAATCACAGTTAGCAGTAGGTGTGATTGTATCACGCAGGGATTTGGCAGAGAGCTCACAGAGGGATTTTTTTAGGGGCACCAACTTGGAAAGAACAGGTGAGCTTTCACTGAAAAAGTTTTTATGTAGCTATAACTCTTCATTGTAGATTCAAGTGTTTTTGTTGATTTTCCTTTGCTTAGCATTCCAGGATGCTTTTGAGAGCTATCTTTGTGCTTCGGCCAAAGAACTCCTATTTTCTGACCAACTTGACTGTATTCTTTCCAGGCCTTGCTTCTTACCAAGAACTCTGTTTGTTGCGATGATGATTTCTGGTTGCCGCAAGGCCAGGAGCTGCCCAGGATGTGTCCAATTCTGTCATGCATTTTAGAAGTGCAACTGTGGTTTTCATCTAAAATTCTGAGAAGAAGATGAATTTCTAATACAGGAAAAGCTGGTCTTTGCTTTCAGCCAGCTTTCAGACCAGTTTGGGCACATTTATTTGTCTGCAGAACTCAACGGTTAGCGATGTTCCTGAATTCATTTCATTGACCTTTGAGAAGAGAGAATACATTCTTATTCAACAAATGTCTGTTTCCAGACAATCATGAATGACAACATTTTTTACCTTCAGAATATATGTATTTTTTTAACAACAGCACACTGTTAAAAGTTTATGCATCCAAATTACATTGCTTTGCTTTTTAACTACAGCTGAAACCGTGTTTCGAATAACAGATGTGGAACACTGTCATCTCGCTGTCACACCAATTGTTCATTGTTCTGAGAAGGTCACATCATAATTCATTAACAATAATTATTCCCTGGGGATGCCCTGCACTTCTTCACTCAATTGCTTCATTAACTTGCGAGCGAATCTCACATTCACTGCTCCAATCAATGAAGATATATTTATAATGTACAAGTGGATGCTATTAGTTACAATATATTAACTGCCTAATTTAAAATAGAAAAGCTATCTTTATGAAGGGCAATTAAACACTAAGTGTAATTGATAATTCACATACCTATGATTAGGAAAGACAAATAATAAGAAAGAAATGAATCACCTGTGTTACTGAGGAAGACGCTGGCATGCAGCTTTAATGAGCAGAAGGGGCTCTCTGCATCAGGGCTGGATTTCTAAGAATTCTTGGATGGAAAATTCTTCGTTGGATGTGTTGTGTCTGGGATTTGGTGTTTGCACCAACCTGTTGGGATCTTCTTTCCTAGAAAAAAGGACCCACACTTCTTGCTAAGAATCAGTGCAGGTGATTTCCTAATAAAAAAGCCATCATTCTTCCTAACACACACACACAAAAGAAAAACAATATTAGTTCAGTAACAATTGAAACCTAATCTCAAACTTACCTACGTATCTGAACCTGTATTAGGCCAGATCCAGGTCCTCAGAGATGGTTGTATACATAGTCTCGCTAAAACTAACAAAATGTAGACATTTTAGTACATTTGAGGAGCTGAATGAGGGTCCCTTTGGCAGAAATTAAGAAAAAAAGATTGAGATAGATTTTAAAGGCCTCTCTTTTGCAATGGCCACATTGAAGTATGTTGATTTTCCAAAAGGCAGACAGCTGATCCTTGGAGAACAGACCTTTTCATGATATCTCCAATGGGTCACCACAACCTGGTGAATCCCAGCTTGGAAAGGTGAAATGCTTCTGGTGCAGTGCAACGAAGAATGGTTAGAACATGTTATTTTTATGTGACAATGAAAGCTAGATGAGATAATGACATTTCTGCAAACGCTGAAGCACTGTGCAGTGTGTACTATTGGCACCTTTGTTTGCAGGTGGGGAAGCAAAAATTGCTGTGAGGCAGAGGACTGGCATGAGAATGCAGAGCAGTGATCCCCAGGAATGGTGTCCTTGGCTCTGGGCACTTGAGGCCATATTTTCTTTCTTCCCTTGAGAAGTAAAAAACTTCTTTTTTTTTCTGTAAACATTTATTAATAAATCAATGAAACTGCTCTATTTTTCAGGATTACCCAACAAATAGCAGCACAGGTGTTTTATGAGAGATTGCATGGTAAATGTGACGGAAGCCATCCCTGCATTGATAAAAGCATCATTCTTGCAGCACAGTGTAACTGGCAGGCCTCGTGCCTGAAGTCTGCAGAAGTGCAAAGCTGTGCTTTTACCTCCAGTGTAAGTGCTGATCACTGTAGCAGATGACCAGTGAGTGGAAAGGTGTAAATCCAAGCTAAAGTTCTAATAGTGCTATTGCACCAGCTCCTGTGCTCATAGCTGTGCAGTTTGTGTGTACGTCCCGGGAGTGCTTTAATGATACAGGTGGGAAAGCAAAATTTCAACAGGATTTGGAGGTTTTTGATACATGCAGAGAATGTGAGCATGGCAGGCTGAGGTATCCTGCGTATCATGTCCATCATCAGTGCTGCCCCCGTGGTGATGTTAGCTCTGCTCCAGATGCCAGTTCCATGTTATGCAGGGGCTCTGCACGTGTAGTGCCCTAAAATTGCTGAGTGACTCACTGCAGCCTTTCTGTACCTAAAGGGAGCCTATAAACAGGAGAGGAGTCAACTCTTTGAAAGGGTAGATAACTGCAGGAGGAGGGGCAATGATTTTAGGTTGAAGGAGGAAAGATTTAGGTTGGATATCAGGGGGAAGTTCTTTACCAAGAGAGTGGTGAGGTGCTGGCAAAGGCTGCCCAGAAAGGCTGTGGATGCCCCATCCCTGGATGTGTTCAAGGCCAGGTTGGATGGGGCTCTGGGCAGCCTGGTCTGGTGTTAGATATGGAGGTTGGTGGCCCTGCATGTGGCAGCAGGGGAGTTGGAGATTCACGATCCTTGAGGCTCCTTCCAACCCGAGCTATTCTATGATTCTATGATGCTAATTCCGTGTATTGTAGGGATGCCTACATGGTCATGATAAAGGATCCTGCTCCTGTTGTCATCATTGCATTTTTATTGTAATTATCCACGTTTTATGTGGTTTAGCAAAGCTGATGCTCCCAGCTCCTTTTCCACGTCCAATTGACCCAATTAAATTCTGCTGCTTTTACTCAACAGAATCAAGGCATCTGGCCTAAAGCTGCGGTTCTGCACTAACGAAACACAAGCGACCCAAGAGAAATTCGTGAAGAAGCTGCAGGGCCTGGGCTTTGACATCTCTGTGGCTGAAGTCACCGCCCCAGCACCAGCAGCCTGCCGCCTTCTGAAGGAGCGTGGGCTGAGGCCACATCTGCTCGTGCACGATGGTGGGACACCACTGGGACTTGGGTGGGGACAACCCAGAGGGATGTAGGCGTCTGTGAGCAAGCAGTGAAGTCCCGTAGCTTGGTGGTGGAAGAGCTCCTAGCTGTTCTGTTCCTGTTCTTTCTTCAGTCATGAGACTCTAGAAGAGCTGTAACAGAATGGCTTGAGTGTGATCTCCATCAGCAGTGCAGTGAAGGTAGGCTGATGGAGTGACTTGGCAAAACAACAGCCAAGGAGGCCTCCTTTTGCAGGGATATCTTTTTTGAAGCAGTAAATGTGGGAAGTAAAGAGCAGACTTATCTGCAAACAGGTTATCCCCAGGTCTAGATGCCTGTGTGTATTGAGCCACTTAGAAGTGGGTGGCAGGAGCTCAGGCAACAGTGGGAAATGGTTTATTTTACTCCCCCTTGCGATGAACAGCAGGATCTAGCCAGGAATAGAAGGAAGCTGAAGAACAGACGTGCATTTATTTATTTGATTCAGACGTATTTTTTTTATTTTTTAAAGTGTTGATTAAAGAAGGAAAGGAAACACAAATCTACAAGAAAACCATCAGTTCAGGTAGGATACAAAATGGTAAGGAATGTATGGATTTCTTTTTCTTTAGATCTTGTCCCTGAATTTGCTGACGTTGATAAAACGAACCCAAACTGTGTGGTTATCGGAGATGCAGCAGAAAATTTCTCCTATGCAAACCTTAATGAAGCTTTCAGAGTTCTGATTGGATTGGAGAAGCCTGTTTTGATCTCCCTTGGAAAAGGGTGAGTTGAGCACTGCTTGTTTCTCCCTCTTGTCTTTCTATTTTTTAATTTCACCCAATGCCTTCGTACTTAGTGGAAGCCAGATACTGGCTTTCACGCTGCCAACTTCTGAGTGGTTCACTGATGTGTCTAAATGGAGAGGTTGATCTGTTGAGTTACCTGTCGATGAAAGATCCTCAGTGGATCTGTGAGGATCATTCAGTCACCACACTTGGCCTCCTGTCTTGAGTCACTTTTTTTGTAGTCTTTCTAGAGATACAAGGAGAAACTGAAGTGAGAAGGTAAAGGGTGGTATGGATGCAGCACTCACTGGGATGAGACTCAATTCATCACTGTGCAGATTTGCAGAGAGCACTGGCAATCACTCAGCATGCAGTGCCAAATCCTCCAGCTAACTTAGCAAATGCTCATCAGGAGGCCTCTGTGGTGCACTGGGTAGGGCATCTCTTGAATTTCAGTTCTTGATGGTCATTTTTCTGCAAAGCCCAAACTCCACCGAAGCTGTAGTGCGGGTGGGGATATCTGGCTGCAAGCAAAGTGTGGTGGCTGAGGAGACCTGAGGGGAGAGCCCAATGATATACTGAGAAATGTATGACCTGCAAAAGCCCCTCTGCTTTTGAACTGACAAATTGGTTGCTTTGTTAGTATAGGTGTCAAAAGATATTTTTAATTATACTCTGAACATTAAAGTGAAATTTTGACTACTTACTTGCATAGGCAGAAAAAGTCCAGCTCAGGAATTTTGAATGTTTTAGTTAAAACGTTCATTTAGATGTGTTCTGAGGTTGTGAACAGGTGGTTATTAATGACAATGCTGAATAACAACAAATCCCAGTGGCCTTTGAGGAGTTATTCTTATCTGTTGCCCTGTGTATGGGCTTAAAAAAGAATATGCATGTTTAGTTTGTGGAAGCCATAGAGACTTTTTTTCAGTGGTTCAATAGACCATAATGAGCGTGAAAGCCCTTCTGAGTTTGTGGGTTATTGATCCAGAAGGTAGATCTTATCGGAGCAGTTAAATCCATTGTGTTGACAATCCTTTCACTCACATGCTCTGATCCTATAAACCAGGGAAAAAAGTCCATGCAATTTTTTGTGTTGGAAGGATAAGGAAAAGCCATTATAAGCCAACGGCACAGCGGCTAAGATATGTGAAATAACTGAGCATGGTGTGGCATCATACCATCTTTCAAAACGAAATACAGAACCTACCTTTAAGATTGCAACATGAGCAATGCCAGAATGCCTTTGTGCCTTCTGCATATAAAAGTATTTATTTGTTTAGTCCTTCATGGATGTAGACAGCTCCAGAGCAGGCCCACAGTTTGTTCATTTGGTGGGGTGTGGGTTTTGTCATTTATTTTTATTTTTTATTTTTTAATGAAGAATAACCCATGTTTGGATTTCCTGAGCTCAGTTTTTGCTCTTCTACAATCGAACTTCTAGGTACTGTAAATAAGAGTCCTGCAGAAATGGCTGAATAAGTTACTCTGGTAGGTAAGTTCTCAGACCTGATGAATGGAGATTATAAACTGGATGAATTGCTTCACAGTTTATAGCTAAGATGCATCATCAGTGCCAAGAGTCATGTGAAAAAGCCAACAAACGACAGGTCAGCTTTCTTGCTCATGTGCAGAATCAGTGTGCGAGGACCTTAACAACTCCTCTACCTGGAGCAAGCAGGTTGATTTCTGTTAAGTTTTAGTTCATTCCGTGGAAAAGGAAAGCATCAGAATCAGTGAAGCAGAATGCCCTCCTCCTGAAAATGGAGTGATTTACATTTAGCATCTGTTTTGGGCTGAGAGTGGGAATTGGCTTTGTAATTTCTTCTGTCATGCCACTGTCAGAAAATTAAGCTGTTTACGCTAGACTATAGAAGGTTAATGGCTGTTCTAGCAAAGGTCAAGTGGTCATTTTAAAAGGAGGCTGTGCTGAATAATCGAAAATGGCAGAAGGATAAGGCATAAAATCTTCACTGACTGCTCATCCTACTTTTTTTTTCTGTCATACAGAAACCCATCTTTGCTCTGATCAGAAGAGCTCAGTAGACCTGGGTTGACATGAGTGGTTATTCCAGAAAAAGTCCACGCAGACTGTAATTAATTTTGTGAACTTCATAGCAATAGCAACATTTTTGGAAAGAGTAAAATCTAGTTTTGAGGACATTCTCAGTCCTGATAAAAATAAAGGCAAGTGAAGGCTGATGACAAGCAATGGTCGCCTGTCTGGGGCCTCCTTCCAGATTTACTGAAGGAGGTCTTGCATCTCCCTCTGCCTCTGACCAAAACAAGAGCAACGCGCCTGCTGTCCTTTGTGAGAAACTGGTACCTTGTGAAGTAGAAAATAGGTCAACTTCATCCCTAAAATAAACTTGAGGAAATCCCTTTCAATGAGTAGAGTCGTGTCCCAGCTGCCAGATGGGCACCTGGTCTGAAATCTTTGCACAGTGCTGAGCCTGCTCTTTACTTAATTCCTGGTGCTAATTTAAGGCTTCAGAGTTTCTGATGACTTGACTTTTTGTTGCAGCCATATGGACATCTGTATAGGCAGAGAAATAATAAAATGTAGTTTCTTTGGATTTAACTGCCAACATTTTCATTTCATTGGAACTTTATCACTTTCATTTCCAGACGCTACTATAAAGAAACTGATGGTCTGAAACTTGATGTTGGAGCATATATGAAGGCATTAGAGGTATTTTATAGCTTGCATTATGCTTACTCGCTCTGTGCACCTTGTTAAAGAGTCACTGGCATGAATATGGGTCATCATCTGTAATTACTCTCCTTGGTGGAGGAAGTTTTCACAGATTGAAACCCATTTGCTGCATTCTAAAGTTGACTGGATTTATATTGTTCATTTTTTTCTATATTTAAACTTCTACCATCATGGTATCTTTATTGGAAGCGAGGCCCTGGAAGGAAGAAACTGGAAAGCAAAAACACACCATATTTTCTGCAAGATATCCAAGAAAAAACTGAGGGTCCATTAATGTTTGGCATAGCATTGTTAACACAGCCCCTTGCCCTTAGCAATTTACAACATGAAGTCCTTATTCAGCAAGATACTTATGTGCAGTCTGTTTGTAAGCCAAAGTCTGTGCAGAACCCAGTAGATAAACTGACCTAAGGGTGAGAGAAGGGAACAATCATTGCACTCCTTTAAAGAGGCTTGTAGAGAGATTCTAAAAAAATTCATACTGTGAATAATAAAACAAAATACACAAGCACAGAAGATAGTGGATGCAATGTATGCTTGAAGCACATTCATTTGGATAAGTATGAGTTTTGGAGAGATTTTCTGCCTTCCCAAAAAGAAGTTTGCACTTTTCATCATCATGGAACAAGCTAGAAATGCTTTATGTTTTCAGGTTTTCAGCACCTGAAAGCACTGGAGCTTTTCAACTCCGACTGGTTACTTTAGCCATTAAAAGTATGCTGGGAGGTTGAATGAACTCTCCACATCTTTTAATGTGAAGGTTTTTGTTATTTCTGTCAGAGTGGGGCTCTCACAAACTGGAAGGATACTGGAACTCACTTGGTAGGCTGCTGTCACGACAGAGAATCAAGCAGGTTTGTAGCTCAGGATGCTTCAAGAGGACTTTCTCTTTTGACAGAGAGCACTGAACACTCCTGATATCCAAGCTACCAGATAGTAATCTTCAACTGCTAACCCATCATGTTATTTAAAGCTGAAAATCAATAATTACATACTTTTTATACAATTGACTGAAGCTACGAAGTTGAACAAATCCTTTTCTGATCTTAATAGTGTTATCTGTGTCTTCCTCTCTCTTTTTTTTTTCCAGTATGCCTGTGATGTTCAAGCTGAAGTAGTGGGAAAACCAGCAAAAGCGTTCTTTGAGTCAGCCCTAGCAGAAATGGGAGTTCCACCAGAGCAGGTAATGGTTCTGAATGATGGAAGATGTTGTGCTTCACAAGATAACAGCTGCTCTGAGGGCTGCAGGAGGGGGATTTGCAGCTAAAATGTTATTTCCTTTGCTATCACATTTGCTGTTTTTTTTTAGTACAGTTCCTAAAGGGAAAGACAGGAAGCACCGACTGGCCCAAATCCCCTCTCATGTTGCTGCTTTCATCAGGCTTTCCAGAAACACACTGAGTGTGTGGGCTGCTCCCTGCTTGCTTAGTACAGCCCATTTTTTCCCTCTCTATTTGTGCCCTCTTTATTGATCTGTTGTTATATCACACAGGACATAAGGATGAGTACGAAATGACTAACAGACGGCAGTGAATTACAAGGTAATAACTCCATCACAGGCTTCTGGTGACATCATAAACAATTGGAGTGAAGTTTGGGTGGCTTGTAGGTCCCTGGAGCCCGGAGATGAAATTATGGCCCTGTAATTCACTGTGTGCTTGAGTTTTACTTTATTATAGAATGAGAAGATGGAAAAGACCTAGTAGGCCATCTCATCCATCTCTTTCCCCATGCAGGAATGTTCCCTGCTCCATGTTTATCCATGTTTTGTCCAGAGAGTTTTTAAGTGAGCAAACAGCAGCCCTTTTAAAGCTCCCTAGGGACAGTATTCAGAGCTTAGTAGATCTCATGGGCAGGCAGCTTTTTCTGACATTCAATGAAATGATCTCCATTTAAACAATATATCCTTCTTTTCATTTTACTCTAGGTAACAACCAAAAAATAACTGGTTTCCTTCCTGGATGTTTTCTTCTTCCAATTATCTCTAGGCTCCTTATCATTACAGTGGCTTTCTCTTACTAAAATTGTGTGTTTAGCTCTCAGCAACTTTCCTTGCAGTTCAGTCCCTCTGCCCCCTAAGCCAGCATGGGGTTCTTTTCTCTACTGCCTTCGGTTTGTCAATATCTTCCCAATAACATGATAGCTCAGCCTGAACAAAATATCCTAGATATTGAGCAATTACTCAATCCATTCATCCAAGCAACAAGCCAAAAAATCAATTTCAGAAACAGAATGGCATCTGAAGAAAAAGTAGCTGGAAAAAAAGAAAGAACAAAGGAAAGAAAAAAAAAGCCCACATACATAACTCAGCCCTTCGATTCTATGCCTCTCAATTAGAGGCATGAAGATTTGTTTTCATTCTGCTTGTATGAGATGTGAATGGCATGCTGCTCTGGGCTTTTCCAAGGCTCTGTGTAATGCCATTGCTTGCCCTTTTCCACAGGTAGACAATGTGGTGGTCCTCAAACTTTGTTTTACCCACTTTGCCAACATGTCAGCCCCTACCACTGTGGGGAACATCATTACAGGGATGTGTTTCAACACGACTGCAACACCACAACTCGTTTCTCAGTGAGTTTCTTGTTTCTTGTTGCCCTGGGGAACGAGATTTGAACAGATGATTTAATCATAGAATGATCTGGGTTGAAAAGGAGCACAATGCTCATCCAGTTCCAACCCCCTGCTGTGTGCAGGGTCGCCAACCACCAACCCAGGCTGCCCAGAGCCACATCCAGCCTGGCCTTGAATGCCTGCAGGGATGGGGCATCCTGTCAGCATCCTTGGGCAACCTACAACAAACTACAGAAGAGCATGTGGATTTTCCTAACTTCTGAGTGCTTAACTTTGCAACTTTAATGCTCTTTTGAGGAAGATTTTTTGGGTTGTATTAGTCATACAAAATAATAAAAACTCAGGGTATGTTGTTCAGTAAGGTCCTTAATCAGTAGCACATTGTGTTACATTTTAATCTGTCTCCCGACTGAGCTTTATGTCTTTGTAATGGCAAGATGAGGACTGGCTTTCCTAGCCTTTACTTTTATAAAATGTTTGCCAGTAATTTATTCCACCTGTGGAATGCATTTAATCCATTATTCTAGATGAGCTGTGCATTTGAAAACATATTACAGTTTTCTTTTACCTGACGTTTAATGAGAAGTATCTTTTTAATAAAGCTGTCTCACCACAGTAATGCTAGACAGTGGCAAACCTGAAATTTCTCAAGCCACTTTAATCAATAGAGTTATCACCAGTCATTTCCCTTGGTAACTGCTTCTTACTGAGACCCCGACTTTACCTTCTGCTGCCAAGATGTTTTCAGCCTGCACTTAGAATGGGAGGAACTCCCTGAAGTCCAATTTTCATTTTAACCTTTCCTCAATGGCCTAGAAATAACAGATTGCCAGTATTACTTTAATAGATTGGAAATTTAAACCTCTTAGAGGTAACCAGATTTGTCTTATGATTCAGTAGTATGACAAAGAATAACACATCTTAAAGGTTACCGAGATACCTAATTCGTATGTTTTAAGGCAGCTGTAACAGTGGGTGATTTTTACAGCTTTACAATAAAACCTAAATAATGTTAAGGTTCCCCTAGTTTTATATAATCATAAAGAAGTTCTATCTGTAGCAAATTGTCCTGCTTTGCCTGGAGTTATGGTGGGTCATACCAGAGTGCATAAAGCCCTGGCAGTTAACCAGTTCCATTGCTGCCACCTGCACACCTCAGGTGGGGGTCAGCAGTGCATGAGAGCAGAGCGGGGTCACCCCCAGATCTGCTGCTGTGCAGCCATCCCTTCCCCAATCACCAGGATAATGGGAAGGTTCTCCATCTCAGGAAGAAGAGTTAAGCAGCCAGGTGAAGTTTCAAACACTCAGGGGGAAGTTCTTTACTACGAGAGCGGTGAGGTGCTGGAACAGCTGCCCAGAGAGGCTGTGGATGCTCCATCCCTGGAGGTGTTCAAGGCCAGGTTGGATGGGGCCCTGGACAGCCTGGTCTGGTATTAGATATGGAGGTTGGTGGCCCTGCATGTTGCAGGGAGGTTGGACATTCATGATCCTTGATGTCCCTTCTAACCCAAGCCATTCTATGATTCTGTGATTCTATGATTCACTGGCCTGGCAGACGTTGGCCCTTTGGAAATCTGCCCTGGAGGTGTCATGTATTTCTTTTTCTGTTTCACCTGCCTTGTTGTACAAACTCTGTGGGGTCAGAGGCCACAAGTGGTGCCCTGTGCATGTTTGATGCTTGCACAGCCTGGATAGAAATGGAATTAACAGAACTATGGGATCTTGAAGCCTAGGAGATTACCAGCTGGGTCATGGGGAATAGGGAGAAAGGTAAATGCATCATATTTCTTGGGCAAAGGCTCTTAACACACCAAGATTTTGTGCAGCAGCTTTATTTTATTTCATTTTATTTCTACATTGTTGGCACACTTAGTTTGGGTTATTAAGCCTATAGCAAAAATCTGCTTTGGCTTAAATACTTTTGGCTCTAGAATCATTCATTGTATTAAATACTCTTCTGAAGCATGCTTCCCTCTTTGAATCTTCATGTTTGCACCTTCCATAGACTTCAGCCTCTAACATATTGTGTGTGAGCTCCTCCCAGCAAGTGGGGCATTGCAACACAGGCAGAGCTAGGTAGTGGGGAATAAGGGCTAGTTTGACTGGAACAATGCAGTGGCAATGGCTTTGCTCAGCTTTGGCACACGTCTGCTTTATTTATCACGGTACAGCCACACACCATCTCTCATCAGCTGTAGGGTTTAGGGAAATATGAATTATACCCATCTTAATTCTGTAATGATTTTCTAACAGCCAGAGAGACGTCTCACTGCATTCTTGTCCTTTCTAATAATTTTTTACTTGGTGTAGAACAGTACCTTCCCCAGACGATTGAATGGATGAATGGTGTGGTTCCCGTGTAAAATTTGAACGCAAATGGGGATCTTTTGATTCCTTCTTTCTGTGGGTATATGACCTTCCAGTTTTATATTTCTTTCTCTTCTTACCATATTGCAGTCAGAGAGGAAGTTAAACCCAGGTTTGACAGGTAGAGTTTTTTTTATTTCCCTTGACAGCGCACCTTTTGACCTCTATCTTCTTGCCAATGATTTTTTAAATCCTAAATGATTTGGGAATAATTGCTCCTCCTTTAGTGATTATTGCCCTTCACCGATAGTAAATCTGTGAAATCCCCCGGGGCTGGAGTACATTTTGGTATGCGTATGCCACAAGCTGGCCTGGACAGGCATCGCTGCTCATGTGCAGCTGCACTTGCAGAGCTGCTGTGAGTCTTGCAGGAAAACTTGCCTGGATGGAGTGAAATACAGCCCTGGTGAGCGCGCTTCTCCCCAGGGCTCAGAGCCACCCTGCTCTGCCCTTTCCTGTGTTCTGAACACATTCATTTCCAGTGTTTTGAGGATCCAGGAGTGAAAACAAAGGGTATACACAAAAGTAAGGGGAAAAAAAAAACAGAATCTGGCAAAATTGTTCTCTGCCAACTACTGTTACCGATTTTCCCCCAAGCTGCTTTGAGAAATGTAATCACTCCCATCATTCTGTTCTCTTCACCTATGTATTCATGCTTAATTTACTCATTACTTGAAATCAACCCTTCCTCATTTCGTGTTTGGTGCAGTGGTAGGGAAAGGTGAGCTATCTGCAGGGAACCATTCATCTTTCTGGGAGCACGTGTGTTTCCATAAGCAGAGCGGATAAGGAAAATCATCCAGTAATGAAAGGATGAAAAAGGATTGAGCCCTCCAACGTGTGGTGGCTTTGAAGCAGTTTGTGGGCAATGCCATCTGTCCCAAAGCCTCCTGCTGCTCTTCCCCTATGGCCATGTTTCCCCAGCTCTGTGATCCCATGAGTCTTTGTCTCCTTGCTCCTTACAGAGGCTCGCAAAGGGTGATCGCAGAGGTTTTGCTCTTAGGCAGAATGAAGCAAGGGTGTGCATATATAAACTGCTTCAAAACAAACTGCTTCAGCATGGAACCAGACAAATGAGCCTTGACTTGCAGGGATGGCCTATTACATCCCATCACCTGAGGGATGATGATAATCCTTCACATGAATGGTATTTAAAAGCAACATGAAAGATGAACTGGGCTGGTAGCTACTGTATGTAATCTTGCACGCTGTTCCTGATGCATTACTCAAAAGAGGATTTGTGCTTTATCAGCTGAAGCTGTTTCAGATGTGCATGTACCTATCTCAGTAGGTACATGAAGGCTCTCACAAAATAATCTGTTTAGATGGGCTGTAGGTGTATCCTGAGGTTTCCTTTATGTGCTATTTAGTAAGTAGGAGAAGGTTCTAATCAGATGACAGGTTGTAATCAGATGACAATTAAAAATAGCTCTGCATCCTTAGTACTTTTAGTCTTCTATATATTTAACTTAATCCTGCCCAGTAGACAGCTTACAGAGTGGGAACTGCACTTTCTGTTGCAATAGAGATGACAGAAGGAAACTGATCCCATCTTTCCAGCTGCATAGCCATGGCCCTGGCTCATGCATGGCACCCATAGCTCAGTTCCAGAGCAGCTCCCTGCCTGACAGCATTAAAGAGAACTCTAAAGAGTTTCCTTTATGTCTCTGGGGACACAGAAGGAGGACGAGGGTATACATGCATGCAGGGGAAAAGAGTGCCTATGTAAGGTGCTGCCCTGGATCCCACTGGGGTTTGGTATTGGGCCTGTGATGATGGGATGGGTTGGAGCAGAGAGAGGTAAGAGCAGGACAGAGCAGGACAAGCAGGGTGGTTGCTTGCCTAGTTGGGTATGTTCATGTCATGAAGTAGCACAAAGCAAGTGTCTACCCAAAAGCATATTGCAAAGTTCACAGCCATGGAGCAGGAGACTTTACTGTGGAAAGTATGAACGCAGAAAAAAGCAATTGCTGCATGAATTCCTATTGTGATTCCGTGGCAAGAAGGGCTTGGAAAGTTTGGGTAAATGGATGTGTGATCAGGAGAGCAGCCAGGAGGAGTTTAGGTCTTTGTGTAGGTTGCTAGTTGGATTGCCGTGGAAATTCTGTTCACATTCTGGTGTTCCCATTTGGATATGGGTCAGCTGAAAAGGTATAGGGAAGAACTGCAAATGTGCTGAGAGGGATGAAGGAAATTGGAGCAAATGTGTTTCAGCTTAAGACACTGACTGTATTTATACACTCTGGAAATTCATTTCGTGGAGAGAACACACAAGATACCAAACCATCACTTTCCAAGCTTGATGATCAGCTGAAGTGATAACTGAAATTATGCCTGCTAGAAAGACTTCTGCTTTCAAAATGTAAAAGCAGTTTCTTCAGTATGAAAAGCAATGCTTTCCTTACTTTTCCTTACTCTTTACCCTTTTTTGATAGTGTGCTCAGTTGAGTTCATTTGTCACGTTGTGCACAAATTGATAAATTAGATTTTGCACTCATGGAAGACTTCCCGAATTTTTATATGAACCTGAAAATGGCTTGGAATCAAACTCTGTAAATTACACATTTCAGTGATCACAAGCTTAAGGTCTTGCCTAGCTCTTAGAATATCAATTTTAAGGAAATGTTTGAAAAGAAGAGCTTAATTTAAACTACTTGGAGCATAACATAAATGCATGGTTAGGAACAGACCAGGGCTAACTTCATAAAATTCAACATTTTCTTTGAACTGCGTGCCACATCACTTTGATTTTCGTGCTGGATTACAAATTGTACAGATGTATACTGCCCCAGTATATTGCTCGAGGAGCTATCGCCTGAATTATATTCAAGGTAGAATGACATTTAATCAATACGATGACAATCTTATCTTGTTTAATTTGCCTGATGGCAGTATTAAACATCAAATCAAGCTGTTTATTATGTCAAAGGAGCGTGAGGGATGGCAGAAATAAGATTCTCTTGACACCGATTTTTCCGTATTTCACTGCCCTGACAGGCCATCATGATTGGAGATGATATCGTGAGCGATGTCGGAGGCGCCCAGCAGTGCGGGATGAGGGCAGTGCAGGTGCGGACGGGGAAGTACAGGTCAGTGTTCTCCCCACAGCCTTTGCTCCACCTGGGTCATCGTGGAAAGAGGGGAAATAGCTGCACTCAATGATTTTTTGCACTTGCCTTTTGGCCAATCCACGCCATACTCTTAATTCTCACGCCACGCGTTGATTTCTAAAAGAAGAGTTACAGTTTCAAACTTGGTAAGCCTTCTGAATAGTGCTTCAGATTGAATGCATGAGACCTGTCTGGTTGTTCCTTTGCCACCCATGTCCATTTGTTGCCTGAACAAACATCTCTTTGTGCAGCCTTCAGGCTTGGCTGCATGATGGTGCTTTCCTTTGCAAAATGCATCTTGAGTAAAGACTGTGTGAAAGCAGCAGAAAGGGGAGGCATGTTTTCTTTGATCCTGGCTGGATGTGGCTCTGGGCAGCCTGGGCTGGTGGTTGGCGACCCTGACCTTGGCAGGGGGGTTGAAGTTACATGATCGTTGTCATTTTCAACCCAGGCCATTCTATGATTCTATGATTTTCAAGAGATATTTTCTGTTAAACTACTGCTGTAATACTTCATCTAAAATTACAGCTGTAATTTTGCATCACATTTAGTGCGCAGAACTGGTTCGTTTCTTGGGTTTTGCTTATTTATTTTTATACTACTGTGAGTGTTCTCCGCTTGATACGAGACACGTCTGAAACTTCTAGCAGCATCAAGATGTTTAATTAAACTACCAACTAGATGGTCCCTGTGGGTTACCTCTCGTAGCCCTGTGAAGGACCCTGTATGTCTCCTCTTTTCTCCAGACGTATTTTCAGCACAGAGAAGTCTGGAATGTGAGAGCTGTCTTTCCACTTCATGTCTAAATCAGACTGAGCTCCCGCAGACTTGCTCACCTCTTTCTAATGGCCCTTCAGACCCTTCTCCATGCAGGTGTCTCCATCATCATGTGTGTTCACTGACAGAGGAGCTATTGATACCTGCTCCTGGCAGCTCCTGGTAGAAGACTTGAGTGCAGTTATAAATATGGCATAGTCCAGGGGTGCCCAGTGGAAAATGAAGCCACTATGCACTGCCCAAGCAAGGTTGAAGTCAACTCAGGGTGACTCTCTAAATGCAGTGCAGACATCAGTCCCTACATTTAATGTTTGGACTCCTTTTAGCCATACCATCTTGCAGTAGGCATGGTTTGGTAACAGTGTCTGTAATTTGATGTAAGGTGGGCTGTAGGATCGGTGCTTGCCACTGACTATCTGCAATGTTAGTTAGTTTTCAAGTGTTTTTTCTCTCTCTTAATTTGGGTTTACATAAGTAAATGAAATCATTCTGATGGACTAGTAAGTGATGATTTCTGAGGAAGAAAGTACGTCGCTTGTAATATCATGGTTATTTATCTGTGATCTGTGTAATCCTATTAACTCCCTACAGGAGAATTAGGATTGAACAGTTGGTTTTTCTCTGATATTGATCACCAGGAAGCATTTTGTGAATCCACATCTGAATGTCACACAGATACCCGTATCAGTGAAGGAGGTCTGTGTGTCAACAGAGAGAAATTAGACCCTGGCTACTGAGCGAGTCTGCTGACACAGAGCAGTGTGCTGCACCCAAGTACCTCTGGATGGCACCATTAGTACATCTACATCACAATTAGTTACCACTTCGGGAGCAACCCTGAAAGCCAAGGCTGTTTGTGCAAATGAAGGAAAAAGCAAATCGGCTTCAGGGTTTTACTGGAGATGCTGAGTGTTGGCATGGTGGGATTTCCAGACATTTTGGTTGTGAGAGCCTTGCAGTCCAGAATACGGGGCATCGCCCCAGCTGGGTTGCTTCTGTGTCTCTGTGCTGAGTGATTTCTTCCATCTCCACCGCAACGGTGGAGTCTTCAACAAAAAGGATGCAAAGCTGATTCCAAAGTACAATAGACAATAATAAAGTAGAAGAATTGTTGCAGGAGCATTTCACATCACACTGCTGGATATGGGGAAATTACAGGTCTTGCAGAGGTTATCCCAGTCAAGGCATTTTGCACATTGTTCTCCAGGTCCAAGGGATTCTCTTGTTCTCTTCCACTCTTACTGAGATGCTGACCCTAACACCTTGTTATCTGCTGTGCATATCGGGCAGCATTCCTTCATTCAGGAGCTGCTGCAACTTATACCAATAACCCATGGACCTGCTGCCAACCAGGGGTTTCACACTGCAGCACAAAAGACACCATGTGAGCTGAGGCTTACAGTACAATTTATTGTATTTCAAAGGGACTCCAGTGACTGTGTGCAGATTACAGAATGCAAAGCAAATTCTGTGTTACAGGCTGAGGTGTTTGGCTGTGCAGGTGATTTGGGGTCCAGGGAGGAGCAGAAGGGGTATAAGGAAAGCGTATCTGTATCTATGCTTACCTTCTCAAAGGCACTTAATCCTCCAACAGTACATTGGAGTTGCACTCTTCTTCAGCAGCCAAACCACGTGTGGAGGGTATAAGTCCATAAAGTGTAATAAATCACAGAATAAAGTTTCTTTTGACATAAGCAAGGGCAATAATGGAAAGCTGTAGGGGTAAAGTGGTATTTGGAATCGATCTTGGTTAATTTGATTCTCTGACACAGGGTGAGTAGTTTGGTTGACCAAGTATGGCCTTTTTAGGTGTAAACCCCAAAAGAGAAGTGTGAGCTGGTCTGCTGGTGGTGTCACCACTCTGTTACCCCTTCCTGCTGCGGTGTGCAGAACAGGCCTTTGCTGTGGACTCACAGCTGGGTATTTATTTCACCACCACAGCTGACAGTGCAACAGCCCTGAGCTCTCTTGGAACACTGCACATGAAAGAGAGTGGGGATGAAAGGAGAAAAGGGGACCAGGAAAGCTGCTGTCTCTTGCTGGCTCTGCCTCTGCTCTGTGGAAGAACTGGGTCAAGTTACTTCATGTTACCCGTCTTCAGTTTCCCCACTTTATAATTATCCTTTGAGAATAATTATCCCGAGTTTATTAAGAAAGTGGTTTGTGATCTGTTCCTCTTATCTGATTGAAGAAAACATACTGCATCTGTAGAGATTTATAGGAAATCAGCTCGCTTGATGTGATTGAGACAGATGTTGTGACAAAGACCTTTCAGGCTGACATCATCAATTGATTAAGGATTCTGATAAACGGGGTGGGTCTCTAAATAACTCTCTAAATAAAGGTATTAAATGATTCTAAAAGGCAGATTTTCACCCGCAGATAGATGGACAGCTATCACAGCCTGTAACAGTCAATGAAAGATCATGGCTTGTTTTGTAAAGCAGCAGTCACATCCTAATGCTATGCAGTGTTGCTGCTTGAAATAGAAGCAGCACCACTCCCACCCTTGCTTTCTTGTTCATTGAATTACTAACCACAGCCAAGACGAATGATTTTATTAGCTTGTTCATGTTTCATGGGGCCTGATGGAGCATACCAGAAGTGGGTACTGAAAGGAACACGCAGCAGCACTCCCTTCATGCTGAAACAGAACCAGAGGCATTTTGATGGCCTCACAATCCTGGTGATGACGCCCGCTTCACATATTAGATGGAAAGACTTCCAACCCATATTTGCGCTATAAAAGATGTATTATAATTTATGTCAGTGTCTTAAGCAATGTTCATTAAGATCCAGTGTCAGCAAGTCAGCTTTCATTCTATTCACAGCATCAGAAGGCGTTGTCTTAGTCACCATTCATTACACATCCAAATCAGAGTTTGTTCCCTCCACATGAGGAGCTTTGCATGTGTTTATCAGTTTCCTGACCACACTTTGCTTACTGTCATCTCTGGTTCAGTTTTGTGAGGGAAGCTCAGAGTTAATACTGCAGAACCTTAGCATATGAACACGTCTGATGACAGCCTTACATTTCCCCATGTGTTCAGAAAGTCTAGGAAACACAAATTAGAGTTTAAGCCTCAGGTGCTGTAGGAGTGAAGGGCCTATGAACAGGTCTAATTTCTTGATGTTGTAACAGGGTGTTACAGTCCAACCAGCTGCTCGTCATCATAGGATATCATAGAGTCATAGAATCACAGAATGGCCTGGGTTGAAAAGGACCACAATGCTCATCTGCTTCCAACCCCCTACTGTGTGCAGGGTCACCAAACATCAGACCAGGCTGCCCAGAGCCACATCCAGCCTGGCCTTGAATGCCTGCAGGGATGGGGCATCCACAGCCTCCTTGGGCAACCTGTCCAGTGTGTCATCACTCTCTGTGTAAAAATATAACTAACTGCAGTGCAAAATAAAGCAATGCACTGGAAATACTTTACCACTGAACTGCAAGTGGTGAATTTGGAGGTAGAAGATTTTAGCATTTGACTCCAAAGAGTCTTCCTTGGTGTGACTTCAGTTATTCTGTTTCTCTACCTGTATTTAGCCATATTTTCTATAGTAGTCCAACTCTAATGAGCTGCTACATCCGAAACATTGATGAACGGAAGCAATTTGCATGTAGCAAATCAAGCTGGTAGTGAGCACATCAGCTTGTACTGCACTTTTGCTTTCCCTGTTTCCCACAATGTATTCAAGCTGTAAAGGTTTCCATTCCTCCTACACTGAAATGAAACAAAGGACGCTGAGAAGACAAGACATTACCAGCAGCTACCAGCATCTGCGTGGGTACCACCAGAGCCTGTGGCAACTTCAGACTGGCAAGCTGCTTGCCCAAAAAGATTCTGTTTCTCTCCTCCCACAGATACGTAACTCACAAGCCCAGAAAAACAGCCCTGGTGGCTGGAACGAGTGAAAGGAGGCAACTCAGGGGCTTTCCAGGGCTGCTCTCCTGCTCTGCACCTACTTCCACTGCATGCACCTGAGGTCTGCCTGGGAACTGCCTGTCCAAGGGGATCTGCAGCATCCCAGAGTGCAGGGCCACCCCTAGCTCCTGTTGGACACCCAGCTTCCCTTTCTGGTATCAGCCCCAAAACCACAGTCTGCAAGATGGGACAGGAAACAGGCTCTCATTTATTTTTATCTTTAGCGGCCTTTTCTCAGTGCCAATGTAACGTTGCAGTAGAAAAATTCCTCAGCAG